AGGGTGGTAGTGTGTGGAAGAATGTTCCAGCCCCGGAATGAGGAGGAGTTCATAGGGGCTCCCTGTGTGCCTCTTTTTTGTTTGAAGAAATCTGTCAATAGTCTGGATTTGAGCTCTTTCATTCACTTTGAGTTTTTGCTTTCTGAGACAGACTCTTGCTATGTAGCCCAGGCTAGCCTGGGACTTGGAGTGCCTTGGCCTCCATGCTCTAGGCTCCCAGCTCCCAGCTTTAGACTTAAGCTCCTTAGGGGCTACTAAGGCCGCCACATCTTCCTCTAGTCTGTGGTTTGTTCTCTGACTTTCTTATTGTTTTTGGTAAGCAGATGATCTTATATTTATTGCAACTTCAAATTCCAACTTACCAACCTTGCCCTGAATGGATGTGGGGTTTTTTGTTGTTGTTTTGTTTATTGTTTGTTTGGTTTTGTTTTTCAAGAGGGTTTCTCCGTGTAACAACTCTGGATGTCCTGGAATTCCCTTTGTAGACCAGGCTGGCCTTGAACCCACAGAGATCTCTCTGCCTCTGCTTCTCAAGTATTGGGATTAAAGGCATGTGCCACCGCCACCACCTGGCTGAATGGATGTTTTTCATGTCTTGTTCAAGAAATTATTGTCCGCAACACCAAAAAGTGAAGAAATTTGCTGTTTTAGTATAGAGTCGTTTTGTGTGAGTGTTGATGCGGTCAAGTTTCTCCTTTTGGTTTTTGGCATTTTGCATTAGGGTACCTGGTTGACCCATTACTGCTATAAAAAAAATTTATTTTTTATTTTATGTGACTGAGTGTTTTGGCAGCCTGTATGTTTATGCACTACATATGTGCCTGGTGCCCACAGAATCCAGAGCAGACATAGATCCTCTGGAACTGGAGTTACAGACATCTGTGAACCACCATGTGGGTGTCGAGGACTAAACCTGAGCTCCCTGAAAGAGCAACTACCGCTCTTCACAGCTGAGGCCACTCTTCAGCCCCTGTCCACTGACTCTTACGGTTCTGCTTCTGCATTCTCAATTTTGAGCCATTTGTCTGTTTACCTTGCCGTCATGCTACACAGCACCTGCCATTCTGTTCTCTTTTTTCAAGTAGAAACCTGGGCATGGAGAAATTAAGAAACCTGTCCGAGTAAATACGCCTTTGCTGATTGATGGTTGAGCGGCAAACAGAACTCAGAGAGTCTGACGTTATACTCTGTGCTTTCAGAAAGTTTAGCGGCTTCTCAAATAGAATGGTTGAAAGGACGATTGTTTTTGTCACAAGGTTTGGGTGTAAAGGAAGTTGCTCTAAAGACAGGAGCCGAGTGGACTCGAGCTTTCCAAGTCGGACCACTAGAGGGCGTGAGCACCTTAAAGTAGCCAAGCATGCCCCGCCCTCTGCGTGGTCGCCTCTCTACCAATCATCAGATATTTATACAAAAGGCAGGTCCAAAACACAAAGTTGTCACACACCGTCTCCACAGAGGACTTTGACCAAAGGAAACAAATAAAACAGAACTGATTTGTTTCAGAGATCTTCAGGGAAGACACTTTCTGGCTGACCTGTCGCTTCCTTGAAGTACCGAGGTCCCCTTCGCTCCTCCTCTCCTGCCGTTAGTGGGAGCTGGGGCAGCTGTTCCTTGCCCTTGTGAACAGGAAGGTGGGGAGCTCGGAGGTGGCAGAAATAGAATTCAAATGTTCACTTCTTTAGTCATGTTCAGGCTTGTTTGCCCTCACTCTGGTATCTCTCCAGTCATTTTACAGTAGAAAATTCCAAAGTGGACTTTGTCCTCCAGTGTCCTCTTAGGTTCTAGACTGACTTCCTGGTCTTGAATGTAGCCTGGGTAATTGACCCAAGCACTAGGCAGCCATTCCGTGGAATGAGTCATTCTTATCAACCTGAATACAGCCACACAGAACAAAGCCGGTGACACAGCAGCCCTTCGCTAGCTGTTGAGACCGCACTGCCCTCCCTCTTGGCTCAGATGTTTCCCGAGAGTGTGCATGAAAAACTGATGAGTTGTTAGGGTTATCTTTGTGTTTCATTATTGCTGTAATTTTGAGATTTTTTTAATTAATAAAAGTCTCATTCACTTGCTCACTTATAGAACACATAGTATGTGTAAGAAAAGGCATAGAAACTGCAAAGCAAAACTGGATGAGAAGTCAGGTCTCCATAATAGCAGCTTTTCACTGTGCCCGGGGAACTATTACACACCCTGCTGAACCTATTATGAAAATGACAAGGTTTGGAGAGATGGTTCAGTGGTTAAAAGAACTTGCTTATTTGTGGTGGTTTGCATGAGAATGCCCTCCATAGGCTCAAATATTTGAATGCTTGATGCACAGTTGGAGGAACTGTCTGGGAAGGATCAGGAGGTGTAGCCCTGTGGGAGAAAGTGTGGCACTGGAAGTGGGCTTCGATGTCTCAAAAGCTGGAGCCATTCCCAGTTAGCCTTCTCGGACCCGTGCTGTGGGGCAGACGCTCAGCTACTGCCCAGCACTCTGCCTGCTGCTGTCCTCCTCATCGTGATGGGCATAGTTTCTAGCTCTGGAACTGCAAACCTCCAAAGTAAACACTTTGGTTGTGGTGTCTTGTCACAGCACTAGAAAAGTAACTAAGCCACTTCCAGAACAGTCTGATTCCCGGTACCCACATCAGGTGGCTCAGAAACCCCTATAGCTCCAGCTCCAAGGGATCCAGTGCTCTCTCTCTCTCCTGTCCTCGCCGACATCCACATGGCATTCATACACAGACATAACCAGCATACACAGAAATAAAATAATAAAGTCAGCTATTCGATAACAACTAACAGAGAAATCAACCTGCTTGTGCGGGGCCACACAGAAGAAAAGCAAGTGGAATCTGAGTTCAGCTCTCTATAAATAAGATAGGGCAGTCACTGACAGCAGAGGCTCACAGCTTATAGGCACAGCATTATGGGAGTCTAAAGGAGAAAAAAAAGAATAATTAACTCCCTGAAAGGCACTCTGTGGGGGAAAAAAACCCTCCTTATTTTCCCATTTTTTTTTTCCTGGCAGACCCTCAGTGTTGTGCGGACCTGAGGAGGCAAAGGAGAAAGGAGTATAAAGCCTCAAAATAAAAAGAATGAGAGGCTAGAGAGGTGGCCCCATGGTTAAGAGTGTGTACTTTTCTTGCAGAGAACAGGACTTGTGGATGGTCCTCAGCACCCACCTTGGGAGGCTGGCAATAGCCTGTAATTCCAGTCCCAGGAAACACTCTGTTGGCGCCTGCACTCAAGGACACACACTCATACACAGACACATGGTTAAACATGAAATTAAACATAATGAGAAGCATTTTTAAAAATTAATGTGGGACATTAATTCACTCAGCAAGTACTTGCAGAACAAATTTAAAAAGGTGAGGGTCAGGCAGACACTGGAAAAGACTTTAAGGCACTGGCCAATCTGAGCCTCTTCCTTTCGAGTCACATGATCCTTCAGTGCCAAGTACTGAGGTAGACCTGGGAAATGTCACTGACTGTAACTTAGCCAAGGTCCCTGCATGTCTGGGCTTATAGTATGATGGAGCTAAGAAATTTCCCTAGTGTGACCTAAGCCAGTGATCAAACAAAGCACCAGATGAGATGAGGCATTATGCAGGCTGGGCCCAGGAAGAAGAAAACAGGATATACAAAGCCTGTGGGCTGGGGTGTGTGATTTATGTGAAGGAACAACATGTACAAAGCCCTGGGAACGAGGATCACAGTGATGCTCTGGTTAGAGAGTGGTGCCAATTAACACTAATTGCTGACTAAATTCTAGTTTCTATCATTGTGCATTTCCGAGTTAGGGAAGGGTTCTAAGCACGGGATCAAGGCAAGGGCACATTGAAACAGTTCTCTGCTTAATAGCTCCAGCCCTCCAGCCCAGCTAGGCCTGCTTCGTGCGCATGCAACATTTGCTGTAAGCGATCTGTCCCTAGATACTGTGCTAAAAACTGCAAAGAAAACCGGGCGGTGGTGGCACACGCCTTTAATCCCAGCACTTGAGCAGCAGAGGCATGTGGATCTCTGTGAGTTTAAGGCCAGCCTAGAACTAGTTCCAGGACAGGCTCTAAGGCTATAGAGAAACCTTGTCTCAAAAATAAATAAATAAATAAATAAATAATAATAAAAATAAAATAAAATAAAAAAAGGAAAAACTGCAAAGAATCATAGGGCTTCCAAAGAAGAGGTAGGGGATTGTGTCCTCTACATCGCTGATTCCTACATGGAATTCAGTTCAGAGCTGTGCACAATAGCTGGGCACTGTGTCTACCAAACAGAAAGTAAGTGAAAACAAATTCATCTGAGGGCACAGTTACTGCCTCAACTCATTCTCTGCAATCTCTGCCCTTTCTCTCAAACTCACTTCTGCCGCCTACAAGGGCTTCTCCTTCATCCTTATGCCTTGTCGCAAGATTCTCTGCGAGGAAGTGGGTTAAAAGCAGAAATTGGAAATTTCAGAGCAGAATCTTACTGGATTCGCAGAATTGCGCAAGTCCTTCAAACTGGGGCGCCCTAAGCCTGCCTCATCTGCGGAATAAGACTAACAAGTATCTGTTTCATCCGGGTTTGTGGAATGAACGTAATTGGGATGAGATGAGAATAGAAAATAGGACAGTTTGTGTAAGGCCATCACCGTTCAGCTTGGCATATGAACAGTATAATGAACCGCAAGTCTGTCAGCCAACCGGCCGGAGTCATTGCAACCCCTGTCCTTCCCAAAAGCAGGCGGGGAACGCGAAACGCGTAGGAGATCTGGGGTCCCTCCAGACTCAACCCACGCGGGGCGGACGGCAGCGCCAGCCTGCGTCACTGGTGAGTGGCTACCGGGCGGGGACCACACATGGTGGGAACGTGAGAGGGCGGGGCCTGCGCCGGCGGTGCCGGCCAATAGAGCTGAGGGGAGACCCATCCAATCACAGATTCATCCCGGGCCCTAGGGGGCGGAGCCATGTCGGGGATCAGAGGTTTCATTGGTAGCTGGGAGGGCGCTGAGCGGGACCTGCTGTGGTCAGGGGCGGAGCGGCAGCCCGGGGCCCAGTCTGGGTGGCGATGGCGGCAGCAGCTGTGGCGGCGGCGACTGTCCCCGCGCAGACAACGGGCGCGGATGGCGCATCCTCGGTGCATTGGTTCCGCAAAGGGCTGCGACTCCACGACAACCCCGCGCTGCTAGCGGCCGTGCGCGGGGCGCGCTGTGTACGCTGCGTCTACATCCTTGACCCGTGGTTTGCGGCCTCCTCGTCTGTGGGCATCAACCGATGGAGGTGAGGGGACCCTACACTGCGGGGTGGGAAGAGCGAGCGGACTCTGGCCTGTGGCCACCTCTGACACAGCGGTTTCTCCCGCGGCCACCTCTGAACTCCCTGAACAAGCTGAGGGATAGAGGTCATGACCCCTCTGTGCTGACGAAACCCTCATCAGAAACGCGTGGTCTACCTGCAGCCAGTTCCTGACAGAATGGGGACTTTCTGGTCTTGGGCTTTTAGGGGTGTGCCGGGTGGGGGGGTGACGAAAATCCGTCGCTGAGCCCCGCCCCCAGGGCTTCCCTAAGCCTCAGATTTGCCTCCCCCCCCCCCACTTCCCATCCTGGCTAACCTTCCTACACATTCACTCTGGTGGTGATTAAGGACCCTAGCTCAGCCTTAGCCAGTATTAAAAAGACCCCAAGGGCATCTTCGGGTAGACCACTTTGTGTCTTGACCTCCAGAGCAGTTCTTAACCTATTACAATTATTATAATTTTTTACATTTATTGGGAAAGGACTTGCTATGGCGTGTATAGAGAGTTAAGGGGACAACTTGTAGGTTCTCGTTCACCATATGGTTCCAGGGATCAAACTTAGGTTGTCAGGCCTGGAGGCAGGTGCATTTACCCGCAGAGCTAGTTTCCAGGCGGCCCCCTTAACTCATCTGAGAGGATCCCTTCTGTAGTTATAATTCGCTAGAAAAATATTCAAAGAGGATGGTGTCACTGTCAGCTCTTCAATTGTCATGATATGATTTAGAGGATAGTTGGACCATTATAGTTGAGACTTTTAGGAACCACAAAACTACAATGTTGGAAGCCCCTGATAACTCCCAGGAGGTTGGGTCCTTTCCCACATTGTGTGACACAGTAGCTGATGTATTTTCTCTGTAGCCAGTATTCAAAAGCAAGTTCTAAGACATCCTGTACCCATCACTCTTTAAATGCCGCCTAGCAGTTGCCTAGGTAATTCCCAAGAGACAGTGGCTCTCAGCACCCCATTCTTTCCACTCCAAAAGGGGTTTGCCCTGCTAGGAGAGCAAGTGCTCCTAGTAGCGTGTGTATTAAATGCCCCCTTGCTGCCCATTTATGCAGCGGGAACAACTAAAGGCAGTCCTGTGGAGAGCCAGCCCACACTGTTCAGGCCGCGCTGCCACTCTGGATTGCTCCAGTTTCCATAGCTAGGAGGTTGACTTTGACAAACACCGGCAAATGACCATCTCTACTGTGGACGGTAAACCAAGCCTCAGACTTTGCCCTCCCCTTCCTTTTGGCAGTGTGCCAATCTAGGCAGTCGCTAGACTCTTGACTGTTATGTTTTCATGAAGGTGTTTTCTTCTTTTACTGGGATTTTGAGGAGCATTTGCCCATTCCTTTGTGGTAGTGGAGATGAAGGAACCACAAAACTGGTTGAACTCTAATGTACTAGGAACTTGGTTTTATGGGTTTTTGTGTGTCACCTTTTTGTAGTTGCCCTTTCAAGATAATGAAGCAGGAAAGGAATGAGGCAGCTCAGATGCCTAGGTGAAATCTTAAAATCCCGTGGAAATGCAGATATTAATTAATTGAGAGGTTATTTTTGTGAATTGTAGCAGTCAGGCTGCTGCTAAGCACGGCTGTGAACAAGCAGGTTCCGGGGAGCTTCCACAGCATCCAGAACCTACATTCGAGTAGAGAAAGGCAAGTAAACAACCATGATGGAGGAGCCTAAATGCCATGAACAAAATAAGATGGGGACAAACTACAGATATGTTTTTGATATTGGAATCACTTAAGGATCTTTGAAAGCTTCCTGGACTCTCCTCCCCCATTTATGATTCAGTTGTCCTGCCTGGGTTGCCTTTTTTTTCTTTCTTTCTTTCTTTCTTTTTTTTTTTTTTTTTTTTTTTTTTTTTTTTTT